AGTTTTTTTTATTCTCTTTTTATCATCATAAATTAATCGACATTGATGAGAAAATTTATTTTTAATAAACAAAATTTATTAATGGATAATCATGAATATATGATTATAAAAAAATTGAATGAATCAAATAAATACTCTCTAATTATCAAAAATTATTTATTTCAATAAACTTATTTGAATTCCATAAATAATTCATTAATACTAAATTCATGAAAAAACCAAATGCAGATGATAAATTTGAATTGATGATCAGAATATTAAGTTCTGTTATCTTCACTCTCATACAGTAAAGAAAGAATTAACAAAGGGCCATTAATATTATATAATCAACGCATAATTAATGATCAATTATTTGTTAAAATGAATGCTTGATAGGAAGTAACATCACATTCGTTTGATGTAGTTTGGATTCTGATCAAATAACGACAATTTTTGAAATTCATTAATACATTTATGTTTGAAATTATCAAATAAACATTTTAAACAAAGTAAATTTATCAGGTGCTTGATATTATCAAGTACTAGTATTATATTTGACTATACAAATATTCTTTTGATTAAATAGGAATATGTATTCATATTAAATTAAATAGACATCGAATAAAATTTCTGATAAATATAGTCAAAATATTTGAATAAATTATTTTTTAGTAGTAGTGTATTGTCAATTCTTGGCATTTGTTGAACGTCTTATCATTCAATAATTAAACGAAAATCAATAAAAAAAATTAAACAGCTTGAAATAAATTTTTTTTATTGATAAGAGTATTGTATGAGGGTATTTGACGTTCGATGATAAGAACGACACAGTATAAAATGAAAGAAAGAACAGATAGGAGAAAGAATAGCAGAGGAGATTGGTTGAAAGGTAGAAGGAATGTATCCATGTGTTTTCTATCATGTTTCTACCTTCTCCTCATTCAATTTTACCATCTTCCTTCTTCCGTTTCTTTCTCTAGGCTTTTGACTCTCTTTGCGTCTCCTTCACCCTCTGTGGCCTGTTACTGCCCCTCTCCTAACTCGCTTCTCGGCCGTCATCTCCGGGGCGATTTTCCGCGGCACCTAAGAGAAGGGGCCAATGAGACGCTGGGCGTCGGTATTGATCCGAGTCGTCGTCCAGGAGACGCTCCCGCTCCAAGACGCCGGGCTTTGGTGCTTGATAAAAGCCTTGGAAAGGTGACTGGATAAAAAGACGCTACTTGATATCCATGGGCATGAAAAATTTCCTTCAAGTCCTTGTATCTCTGTAAATAATAACGACAATCAATCTTTTCTATTCCATTTTATATTTCTTATTTATTTTTTAAAGATTTTTCTGTTTTTTAAACAAAATTCACAAGAAAAAGAATTTTATTGAGATAAAAAATTATTAAAAAGTAAAATCATTCATATTTATTGAACAAAACTATTTTATTATTACACCATCTGAATCGTCTGCTTATTAATAGCCGTTTGATAAAAAAAAACAGTTAAAAATTATGGTGCCATCCTTTAACAGCTCAGGAACAAAGAATTTTCTATGCAATATATTTTTTTTTATCTCATTATTTCAAGTATATTAGTGAAGAATGCAAGAGAATATATAAATTAAGATGACAAAAATGCGTTAAATGCAAGGATCCATGAAGGAAAGAACGAAAAATGAAGAACAAAAGAGAAGTCTGAGCCAACGTAGCAGAATAGAAGGAAGAAAAAGAGTGTGAGATGGGAGAAAGAAGTGGTATAGATGCCTTAGTGTAATGTCAGCATATTTTGAAGGAATTCCTAACGGCGCAGGCGCAAAGAAAGGGGCATTGAGATGAAGAAGGAAGAGGTAGAGGGTTGGTGGTGCAAAGTAAAGGTGGGAGGACGCTCCTTTTATTTTCCTTCAATTTCCTTCCTTTCAGATTCCCCATCAGCCTTTCCATTAATATTAAAACGGGCGCCTGGCCTCGTGAGAGCTGTTTCAAAGAGCGAGAGAGTCGAGAAGGTTGGACTTAGCTCTCGACAAACTATACAGTAAGATTTGAATTTTGTTTCATTTATTTCCATTTTCTTCTATAATTATATTTATTTTAATATTATCAAAACTTTTGCGTATATTTTAATTTAAAAAATTTTGTTCATGCAACTTCGAAATTTATTTATACTTGGAAGCAATAAAAATACATTAAATGAATGAAAAAATTCACACTAAATTTTATAAGCGAAAAAGAGATCAGCATTGAGGATGAAAATGAATGTAAAGACTTGCTTCTTTATTCTCAAAAATATTTTCAGCAAAATCTGTAGATAATGAATTTTTATACTTGATGGAAATGTTAACAAAATGTTACACAAATTATGAGATACATTTTTACCGGAGAAACCCGTGGGAAATGTTAACTCTCGAGTTAACAATCTACGTTAACTTCTCGTCTATTCTTATGACCCTCATGGCGCCCTTCTTCGCGTAAAATAACCCCTGAGGGTCGGCCAACGGTCAGCAAAACCCCTCTTTGCTGCGTCTATATAAGTTCTGGGATCATATAGAAGGTACTGTGTCCTATATGTCTGTATATACGAAATATATAATGCGTATTGCCAGGCTTTGAAGAACCGGTTTTTCGTAATACATGGCCTGATTTTTCTCTCGTAATTTTTATCAAGTCAAAGGTCTGACCAAGAAACCCGTTCGACCGGTCAGCCAGTTATCCAGGTGGTCACTTCCTGATGGCCACCCCAGTTTGGGTCACTTCTCACCCCCTTTCTACATTTACGAACGTTTTCATGCACTCGAATATCAGATTAAACTTACTACTCTGTTCCATCCTATTTATTATTTTACTATTGTTGAATGAAAAATACTCTCAGGATGTTACATCATAAAAGTAATCTTTACTTTTGTTTTGAATATAAAAAAATCATTTTACTGATTTCTTTTGTCATTTATAATAAAGAATAGTTATCAGTTTGTTTTAATAATTTACTTATTTCTGAATTTACTGGTTCAAATTGTTGGAAAAAAAAGATGATTCAATTTTATAAATGATAGACTTTTATTGAATTCATTTCTTAAATTTAATTTATGAAGCATCAGGGAGTCGAAATTCTGAGCGTAGTTTTGTAGAATACACTTTCTAAGATTTGCTGAAGGAACATTCGTCTTTGTATCTACCCTGTAAGACTGTGAAATATAAGCTGGATCTACTCGAAAGATAGATGAATCCATTTCTGCATACAACGTCTAAGAAAATCATCCTCTTCGTTTTCTTCCTTACCTCTGAAATCCATGAATATATATTTTATTTTTTTTCCTCCATCTTATCTTGAATTTTTATTTTTTCCTCAATTTTAAAAATTCAACTGCGTCATTATCAAACAAAAAATACTTAATTATGAATAAATTATTCAAATAATTGAAGTAACTTTAATTAAGAAAGTAATTGGCAAGCATAAATAATTGCCTTTTTTATAAAATTTTTTAAAATATTAATTAAAATTAGCAAGTCCACCGAGTGTTCAAGACTTTGCCAATAAGGGGGTGAGAAATTTCAACCCCTAAGGCTGCGAGAGTCTGAGAAGGCGTTGGCGGGGCAATTTTCCAGCAAGAAAATTCTGATTCTAATTTCATGCAAATGGCCGCGAGACGAAGTACAAGGGTTATGTATACAGTTATACTGACTGAAGTATAGTGGGAGGTCGAAGGGGGAACGGGGGGAATTAAGGGGACCGAAAGGGAACAAATGTCGGGGGTGAGCGAAGGACGTAACGAAGCACAGCAAAAGTAGAGGGGAACGGACGAGAAAGTAAAAGGGTTCTAGATGTTATAGGGGGTGGAGCATAAGAAGAGCGACAAAACAATGGAACGAAATTTAAATTATGCCTCCGCAAAATGGCGATCGTATGCAAAACGATGCTTATCGGTGGGTGGAATGCAAGCAGCTAAACTCAAGATCAAAGGACACAAGGATGTAAGGAAACATAAAGAAAGTCTAACAAGTGTATAAATAAATATACCTCGATTTTTAACGATATTCGGTGAATGTTGAATGTTTTATTCAGTCAATCAAATGCTTAATATAATTCTTGAGATACCGTTGAATATATTTTACCAGTGAGAGTAAAACTATTCAGTACACAAGGTGGTAGTTTATATTGACTGATCAAACAATTATCTTTCCATCAATGAATTCACTTTCACCTGATAAATTCTTTGAAAAATCGTCAGCATCTCCTACACTTCTCAGCAAGAACATAAATTACATTTTCTCTCAAATGGATAAAATTTTTTTGTTTTAATTTTTTAAATTTTAGAATAGAAGAGAATGAGCTTTGTATAATGACGATGATGATGATATATTATGCGATCATGTTGAAAAAAATGTAATAATGAGAATGAAACAAGACGAAGTACAAGGGAGTAGGAGGAAGACCGCACCCGGTCGTAAACAGCGACGGAGTCTCTTGTTTTCTTATCTCCGTTCGGTAACAATAGAGCCAAGAAACAAAAGACAAAAGACGGGCTATTTATTTCGTTCCATTGTCTTTCACTCTCGCAAAAGAGTAAGAGAGAAAGTCAGGGAAGAGTAAGTAGTATAGCTCGCATCTAGTGGCTCTTTCGTTGTGATGGCTATGGAACGCCATAAACACTAAAACTCTAAACGCTACCACATTTTCTCTTTTGTTTTACATTTATTTTTCTTTTCTTCCATTTTTCCTTACATTACATTAGATTTACACTTTCTCCAGAAAAATTTTACATTCATTTATTGCTCTATATTGATACCATTTTAGCGAATCAATTCAATGAAAAAAGTAAATATTTATTTATGATAGAATCGTTTTATAAAGCAAATTGTTTGTTAAAAAAAATTTACAAAAATACATACATAAAATAAAGTAGGTTTGAATTCCCTTTTGGGACCCTTCTTTGGCAACTGGACATCGGACAGCCGGACCTAAAGGGACACCAGGTTAATTTCAAAAACGGTAAACTGGTTTGTCCAGTTCGCGTTCTTTTATTCTTACTTCTTACTTTGGTTCACTTTGTATACATAACACAACGGATTGCCGTTATACGACTAAGCCCACGTGCCAATGGAGGGGAGGACGATCGCCCAAGTCGATTCGATGCATGAAATAAGGCCCTTATATTACGATCCAGAGGGGGAGGTCCTGGCCAGCGGTCATTTTTCGCAAACAGTCAGTGTCTCGTGGTCCCACGGATGTTAGCTCAACTCTTTCACTCCTGAAGCAGAGAAAAAATCATGTTTTACACAACATCAAAACCTAGTTACTGTAAAGTTGTTTTTTGACCTAATAATTAAAAAGTGATTACTTGTGAAGTTGAAGGTAATGAAAATATTTCACAAAGTCCTGGTTAATCATTTGCGAAAAGTTGAAAAATATATGTGGTCGTTAATTTGATCTCAATGAGTGTCAATTATATATAATTAGTTCATTACTTCAAACTTTGAGAAAAAGTTGCCAAAGTTTATTAGAACCCTTTTGATTGGAATGTGGTGTTATAAATTTTATAGAAGCATATCAAGTGCAATTGACAGCAATGATTGGAAAAATCTTTATTCGTGGTTTCTTTTAGATAATTATTATATATAAAAAATAGTTTAAGTCAAGCAGTCATAACGCATTTTAAAAATAAAAGTAAATACCTTGGTATAATATTAAAATACTAGTTCTTCAAAAAAAAATTGTAGAAAAAAATTACCAACTTCAGTGATTTAAAAATAAGTTGAGAGTTGAGATAGTTTTTTTCATAGCTCTTGACTTGTTTTCAGCCAACTTAAGCTACTATGGTGCTTTTTACTTAAAAATTTCTTCGGTGTTCTTTTTTCGCAAACAATTTATTGTTTTAATTAAAATAATGTTTTTTTATAATCCAAATCTTCTCGTCAAACTTAAATTATTTTTTTCAAGGATTGAATTAATATTTAAATTAAATCCTTTTTTTATAACTAGATAAATTGGGTATCAGTATTTCAAAAGACTATCATTCATATTTGTTTTTTTGAAAAAGTTTCAACAATGACAAACAAGACGAGGCCAGGATTAAAATGAAAATAGAATAGTAGATAACAGTGATTTTTCAAAGTTTCATTATAGCTTGATAAGGGGGTAGAAATAAGGAACTCGAAAGATAGGAACGAGAAGAAGATCCTGAGGCGAGTGAAGTATGGCCCCATACTTTACTTTGTGGTTTGAAGGCGTCTTAGAAGTAAAGGCAGAGTAGAAGCGCGAGTAGGAATTCTCCTTGGCAGCCCTGAGGCTCGCGAGAGTGCGGGAAAGCTTGGCTTGGAGTATCGGGACTGGTTTTACCTCCAACCCCTTCTTCTCTTACTCTTCTCCACAAGATAGGGGTGGCAATTGAAGGTTAAGGTATAGGTATACAGTATTAGATACGAGAACATCTGAAATTGAAGCTACCTCGATTTAGATTAGACGAATTTATATTACTCAAGTGGAAAATGGTCTGCATGCATTGGAGACGTTAAAATCACATTCATCCCCAACACGCTTCAACCCCTTCGTAAACTTTTGCCTCGTGTCACATTCCCAAGAGTCTTCTACCTATTGCTACCAATATTGTGACTATTCTTTTCTTCGAATTTTAATTTTTTTCCACCTTCTTCCAAATAAATCATTCACCCCTTCAATCAACCTATCATTCATTTTAATTCGTACCCTATCAAATTAAGTAAAATATTTATGAGGCTATAATGATATTTAATTCCCTTTCAGTAACATCCGTTTCTCATTTATTTTTACAGACATCTTTCCTTTAAAGTGTTATAATGTAGGCTTCATAATTTCACACAGTATTTTGTAAGAAAAAAAGATATTTTTTCTAGATGGCAATTAATTCAATTGAATTTTTCACCTTTGATGACAAAGAAATAAAAATATCTTAGATTACTATCAATTAAGAGCCTTTGAATACCGCTTTAATAACAACTTTAAACTCTGTTATTTTACCTCAAATTATTCTCGCAATCGTCTTTGTGAAAGGGCGGGTTTTGATTCTTAATGCCTCTTCGATTTCTCTCCGTCGGTAGTTAATGATGGTGAGCAAATCGGAAAAGGGAGGTTTTCACCATTGTCACTATAATAGTACAGTTAACATCAAGAAATAAAATATAAAAAGGATACATTTATTCACAATTTCCATCAGCGTCTTGCGTGACCACATGGCGCAGCATATGCAGGATTCTCTGAAGGTTGAGATTTTTTTTCTCTTCATTCTCATTAATTTTACAATGTTTTAAGATTTTTCACATCTGAGCTCTTATATTTCCGTTACGTATCAGAGATAGTAACGATACACGAGGGAGGAACAAGTAGGCGGGTTTGTAAGAAATATATATAGGGGGTTTGGTGATACGAAGAAAGGGTGTAACTGCGAGGGAGAAAATTTACCCTTCTTGCCTTGGCATCACGTGACGCTTCTCCCACTGTAAATAAGTCAAGATAGAAATGGTCGACTATTTTCTTAGGGGCGTTTATACACTTATTTGTGGATATCGTCTTCAAAAGACTGTCTAACATAACACCTTTTCAATAAAACTGGTCATTAAGCCAACTTCATGTCTCCTCAGTACATCCATTACTCCTATCCACTACTCCTATTATCTTATTCAAGGTTTGACTTGATGGACGGAAATACTAGTGTATACTTATGATTTTTATTCCAATCAGTTTTATATCAATACAGTCTCTTGATTCATTCATGTTAGGCTTTTTGTTTTATTTCATTGTAAAAAAAAATTGATTATTATACGATCTTATAAAGTCGCTCTTAAGTGTCATATCCTAACATTTTTTTCTCAGCCTATTTTCGCGATGTGATTTTTAAAGAAATTTATAAAAAAAATTCAATTGAAACATTGTTTTATAGTGTCGAGCTCATTAAAAATATTGAAAAATGTTAAAACAAATTATTTTGACAACAATTGAGGTACAAATTGACAATATCATGATAGTAAATGCGTAAAATAAGGATGTTCATCATTATTATTTCATGTTTAAATAGAACATGAGATGATATCATATTGAAAAGCAGTAAAAATTGAAATAATTTGGTGCAATTTCGTTTCATTAATTACTTCATCAATTTTAATTTAATAGTTTATTTTATTAATTTACATAAAATATTGTTATTCAATTTAATATTTTAATAGATTCAATTAAAATTAAGCGTTAAAATAAATTAGATTTGTTAATATATTAAAAAATATTTTTTGATAAACATTTAAAATGAAAAATTTTTGACAAAAGAATTTCTGCTTTAAACTTAACAATAAGAAGAGCTGAAGGAAAATATGATATCAATTTTCCTGTGAATAATATATGTTCATGTCTACGTGAAGATATACCTCGAATAATCTTTTTAAACAATAAAAGGGTAAATGACTCGTAAGAGGGTGGTTTGAGGGGGTTAAGTAGTAGAAGAACCCTCCATTTTGCCGACCATCTTTCGTCCTCGACTTGAAGGGTGAAACCCTTCTTTACTCACTCCTACACTAAACCCTTCTGTTCTTTCTCTTGCCTCGTCCTTTTTCGCAAGAGGGTTATAGCTTGGATGGACGTGAGGAGATGAGCAGAGACCCGCGAGGGCTAAAAGTAAGGGCTTAAAAATTTCCATCCCCTTTCTACTCTTACTACATTGCGAAAACGAGAAAAGGGTTTCTCGCTTGTTCCTGGCAACCCCCCAAAAATCATTAAAACCATCCCTGTGAGAGAAGAGACGCGGTATCCTCACGGCTTCTACAGAAACTCACTCCCTTCATTTCTGTCTTTCGTATCTGAACAAGATCCATGCCATGATAGTAGCTCAGAATTTCATTAAATATTTCTCCAAGGCTGAAGAATTATTTCGAACGTTTTTGCACAAAAATTTTGACAATTTTCTCCTTCAATTTGATAAATGTATTTTGTTTAATAGAAATATTAAAGTTTCTTGTCAATATTTTTATCTAACGAACCTCATAAAATAAATAAAAAAATACTTGACTTGAATCATTTGGAACTCTAAAGTGAGGTGTAGTTAATTGAAAAATATTATAATCATTCAATAAAAATTTACAGTGTGATTATTATTTATCTCTTGTTTATTTTGTAGACTCAGCTGTCCACTCATTGGTATACTTATCTCACTAGTGAAACAGAAATGAAAGATTAGTGTATTTTCACCTTTTTGGGTTAATTTAATTAAAATTTGTTCTTAAAAATACAAAAAGTTTATTCTTTACAAATTTTCTTCATCATGAAAAATAATGAAGAAAAGTACACTTAATTTGAAAAGGTTGACATTCATTTAATTAACTTGACAGGTTCATTTGGAAATATATCTTACAAATAAATGACACAGTATTCTCTCATAAAAAATTGAACGAGTTAAAAATAATGAAATAAATAGTAAATATTTGTAAAAAAAAAGTTTTAATTAATTGAGTTGCAAGTTATAACGTGTAAATTTTTTCTAAAGGGAGTAGTTTATTATTATCAGTGGAGGATAATAAAGGAAAGGAAGGAAGACGAGAGATCGAGATAACCAGTAGGACGCGACATAGACATCATATATACTTTGCTATTCTGAAAAGCTGAAACTCATTCCCTCAGCCACCCAACGACGACGTTCAGAGTCGAGCGATTTTCTCTTCGCGCTTGGCACCAGTCGGGGGACGAGAGTCGCCTTCATTAGCAAACTTTCGTTTAAAATTTTCCGAGGTACGAGTCGGCACGGATGCCTCGTCACTGCTGACTCTCCTCCTCCCTCCTGTCCTTCTTTCCTACTCTGTTATATATACATATATATGCTGAGGGCAAAAACAAACGTTCCACCCTCAACTCGATTTCAACTTTTGAGATATAATTAATTTTTCGAGACCGCTCGACGCCGCTACTACCATCGTTTGTTACTATCTCTACATTACCCTCCTCTTTTACTCTTTAACCCTCTCCATATACGACCCTTATGCTTAAAAATCTCTCCCGAATCATTTTAAATACCCCCATCCTCTGTATTCCTCTTTTCTGATTTTTTCATCACTAAATCTGTCTTATCCTCTACTGAGAATTTTTCCCTACACATCGTCCCCTAACTCAATTATCAATATTCTTTATAACAGAATTAAAAAAATTTTTCAACTCAAAAATTATGTTATCAATAATTAACTCTAGAGCTTTTAATAAAATTTTAACACCCAATTATAAATCAAGTTTTTTCATTCT